AATCAGTATGTCGTCCAGATAAACGATGACGCACTTATCTAAAAGCGGGCGGAATGCTTCGTTCATGGTCATTTGGAAAGTGGCGGGGGCGTTGGTCAGTCCGAATGGCATGACGGTGTATTCGAAGGATCCGTAGCGTGTTCGGAATGCGGTTTTAGGGCAGTCGGGTGGGTTGACGCGGATTTGGTGGTATCCTCCCCGGAGGTCGATTTTCGAGAAAACCCGGGCTGTGCGCAGTTGGTCGATCAGTTCGTCGGCTCGTGGGATGGGGTAACGGGATTTGATGGTAACCCTGTTCAGTGCCCTGTAGTCGATGCACATGCGAAAACCCCCGTCCTTTTTCGGTGTGAACAGTATTGGTGCGGCGAAAGGCGACGAACTAGGGCGAATGAATTCCTTTTCTAGCAGGTAATCGAGCTGCTTCCTTAGTTCGTCTAATTCGGGTTGGGTCAGTCGGAACTGTCGCTGTACTGTTGGCTGTGCCCCCGGTTCCAGTTCTATCCTGTGATCGTGCGGTCGCTGAGGTGGCAGTCCCGTCGGCAGGTCATCCGGGAAAATGTCACTGTACTGTTGTAACAGTGCCGCCAGGTCACTCGGTACGTCGGTCAGCAGTTTCTGTAAATCGCCTCCCTTGTCTGCTGCCTCGGCTTCCCGAATGTCAACCGCGTACACGTCGGCTCCGGCCGCAACAGCGCGTTTCATCGTGATCGCGTTGACACGCACCGACGAAGACTCAGGCGAGCCCCAGCGAGGTAAGGCGATGTTGTTACCGTTCACTCGCACGGTGCAGTCACCCGTCGTCCAGTCAATTCGCGGGTTGTGTCGTCGCAGCCAATCACGCCCGAGTAAAATGTCGGTTCCGTCGAGGGTCGTTGCGAGCATTTCCTGACTAAACGTGAAGTTACCCCCGCATCGAATCCGAACTCGGTCTACGCGTTCCCGTATTGCCAGCGGCGTGCCGTCTACCAGTCGTGCGTCGATCTCAGGTAAGCATCGGTCCAGTGGCAGTCGCAATTTTCGTGCTGTAGCAGTGTTAATGAGGCTGTGGCTGGCTCCCCCATCTACGAAGATTTTAACTAAGTCCGTCCCAATTTTCCCACTGAGCAGTATAGGGCTATCTACCGTGGTACCCTCCTTATTCGGCCGGGTGTGGTCGATTGCGTGAACCGGCACAATCACTCGGTGAGGGTCGGTTGGGTCGGGCGAGCGGCGTGACCTGTCAGTAGAGGGCCCGTCTGCTACTGACTTCCAGCGTTTCCCTGCTGCTTGGTCTGTGTCTGCTGCTCAGCTTCCCCCTTTCCCTTAGCGTTTTCCGGGCATTCGCTCTTGCGATGTCCCGGCCGATTGCACGCAAAGCAGCGCCCTTTGAACGGTGCGGCAGCGGCATTTGCGGCGACGGCGCGTATCGTGGCGCTCTCGTTCGTCCCACGAGGCCGATGTCCCCAGGTGTTGTTTCCGTAGGACCCCGGTCTCGGTCGGCGAAAGAAGTCGAGCTTCTCCGCCATAGCGAGAATTTCCTGAAACTCAGTGACGCCGCGAAGCTGGATTTCCTGAGCGATGTCCTGCTTCAGGCCGCCGATGTAGCGGTCGATGCGTTCGCTCTCATGCATGTAGCCCACCTGCTCGCATAGCGCCAGAAATCCGCTCGTGTAATCCTGGACGGAACCGAGTTGGCGCCAAGTGCGGAGCTTCTGTCGCGCCGAGATCGAGGCCGCGATTGGCTCAAATCGAGCGCGCAGACCTGCGCACCACGCGTCCCACGTGCGATACTGGGGCACCTCCACGAAATACGACGGCGCCCAGGGTCCGGTTTGTCCTTCCCGTGTCGGTAGTGTCGCGTAGTCGGTCGGCTTCGTGACGATGACGCGCCACCAGTCCATGGCGGGTCCTCGCAGCAACGACACGGCGTATCGAATCTTCGCCGAGTCCTCCGAGACGTAGTTGGCGTCGAAGAAAACATTCATTGTGAATAACCACGCCTGAACGGTAGGACCACCCCGTTGACTCGGGTCAAAGCATGGCGGGCGCTGCGGTTTCAGCGGCATCGGTGACGGCAGTCCCGAATCGTGGGTTGGTGCCGAAATCGTGACGCGAGGCTGACTTGGGGCCGCAGGCGTCGCTCTGGGGTGTGTCGTGCCGTGGTCGTCGTCTCCGTCGGGGCGGACGACGCCATCACTGGCCGCGCTCGCGGGTTGCCCCACACTCCCGTGTTGTGATGTTGAGGGTGCAGGTTGAATCGGAGTGCCAGGTGCTTGGGATTGTGCTCTCATGAGGTCATTTTGCAGTGATGAGCGTTCTGCCGTCAATGCCGCGATTTCCTCGGAGCTTTCGTGCAGTTGTCGCAGCAGATCGTTCAAACGCTCCTGCGTGAGAGTGGTGACGTCGATGTTTTCGGCCATGACGAAGGGCGTCGGCTCGTCTTAGTCTAGGCGCAGTCGTGGCTGCACGCGTTTACGAGAGAACGCGAGGACAGCGGCTCCTAGGGGCTAAGGTGCGTGAGTCCCTTCGAGTGAAAAATCAAAAGTTGATTTCCTGGTGTGCGGAGATGCGCGGTCCGAAAGAAAGGGGCTCTGATAACCAAGTGTTACGGGTGCAATGAATCGAGGTAGCGAGAATTGCACTAAGGTGTCAAACGAGTACAAAATGTGAGCGAAGGCATGAGCGAGCATTTATACGCGAAACATGCAACGCGGTGCGTGCGAACTTGCTAGTGCTACGCTGGAGCGAGGCTCGGGCTAGTCCCGAAGCGTAGGCCGATACGGCCATGCCAGCAGTGCGAGGTTTGGCAAAACAGTGCGCGCGAAGTCGGCGAAGTTCCGTTAGCAGTAACGGGCGAACAGTCGGCTGTTGCTGTACGCGATGTAGTCGGCTCCGTAAGGAATGCCTGAGAAAATTCCTTACAATACCAAAAGCGATATACAAAAGGCCTAGTGCGACATAAGGAACTAGACACGAATTCCAAGGCGAAGTTCACGTGCCCCTTACGCGTATCAAGTGTACTTGAGTCTGACCTCAAGAACCTACCTTGGACGCTTACGACGTGTTGCGATCCAACAAGGTTGGGTTGGGTTGGGCTGACCTGGTCGACCTGACCATCGCGGCTCGGAGCCTCGAAGAATCTCTGAGAAATTTTGGCATACCCTCCAAGCACTTACAGCGCAATTTGTTTCTAGCTTCCCTGCAGGCTAGGCGAGCTGTGACGAGAGTCAGAAACTCGCTGAAATAGCGGTTACTCCGAAACTAACCTCGCTGGATTTCCAATTCGTAAACGAATCTAACTCGGACTTCTAGCGAGAATTTTGAAGTCGCTAGCTTAGGTAACTCGACGTAATCTTGCTGAGCTGGTCGGGTCGACCTGGTTGGCCCGACTAGGTTTACCCAGGTCGGGCAGACCCAACCCGACACGGTTGGGTCGAGCTGGTTAGCTAGATCCGCAACGCAGCGTTCCTAGAAATGAGAAATCCGACCTGGTCGAGCCGACCTCTTTGGGTCGCAACATGTCGTAACACCAGGTTTCGGTTCAGGGTTGAAAGGCACAGTTGCGTCATATTTTTCGCCACCCTGACCTTTTACGGTCGATGAATATCATTCCCCTCCCATAAATAGGTTTGAATAACGAACCCTCGGAGCCACGCTTTAGAAAAAAAATCAAATATAATCCAACAGCTATATTAGTACAGTGCGCAGCTAGATTAATCATGTTCAGGCTAGTCGGACTCATGATTTCCTGCTCCAGATTGATCTTGGCCTATCTTGGCGACCCATGACATGATTCTCTTCACGAGAAGTGAAGCAAGCGAAATTCGCCAGTGATGTCTGTTGAATGTGAAGGGGTACGTGGAACAAGTGCTGCTCCACTGCACTGCACTGCACGCACACTGAACCGAACCAAACAGTCTCACAAACATCTGCTTGGCCTTATCCCTTTCTGCTTGCATCATTTCCAGCGTCTTATGTTTCGATTCGACAAGCAAGCCAGAAACACACACAGCAGTTAGACAGTACAGCAGCAGTCGATAGTCTTTTGGAGATAGTTTCGTTAGGGGGGCAGCAGCAGCAATGCAGAGAAGTCGTGATGCTTCCTGCTAGGACAAGGAGTCAAAGACGGATGGACCTCTTCCCCCGCCACCACATTCCACACAGGACTGCCTTGGCTCGCCAACTGCAGTATCCTAGTCAGCACCAGCACAGCTCCCCCCACAAATGCGATTTATAAGATTTTGAAGGAACCAATATCCCCTGTCCTAGGGTTCCTCCCTTTTTCGTGTACTGTGCGAGATGTCGCTTCACCCCATTTCCAGATCGTCGTTTCTAATCTATGGTCCGCATCCGTCGCATGCCTAAATTATATACCCGATCCCGTGTGGTCACATTGCCTCCTACATTGTGGTCGATGCTTCAGCTCTAGGTCATCTGACATTGATCTGATAGTCGTCACACATATACCCTAATTGGAGCTCACCATTACTACCTGTCATGGCGTTACGGAAGCAGCCTTTTCCAACAGGCAAGGTTTTGCTTTGCCGTAGCCTTGGCGTTTCTCGCCTCCCGTGAAGCGTATTATTGTAAACTGATCCACGGATCAGTTTCTTAAAACGCGAAACTCTCGCGCACTGCTTAGTACAGTCTGAGTGCAACCAAATCTCTAAAAATAGGTCCTAGGGTTACATCCCCGTTCCAAGATCCATGTCTACATGTGCTCTTACCTCCATTATATCGTATCTCCATGTCTACCAAATAGTCTCCCCAATGTCTCCCCTATCCTAACCATATGTGTCTCTGGTCTTTTCCTTATTGTGACGAAATGTCCCTCCGATCTTTCCCCGTGCCGCGTCGCGACCACCAGAAGGCATCGAAATCGTGCACGTGCTGCTGGAGGCGCGCCAAACATGATTAGAGGACATATGCAGCGACATGTGCTCTTGTCTCCAACTTATACCGCATCGTCATGTGTAACAAAACCTTTCTCCATTCTCTTCCCTACCGTAACACGATGTCCAATGTCCGCGTCGCGATCACCAGAGGACATCGATATTGGGCACGTGCTGCTGGAGGCGCGCACGCGATGGCTCAAGCCCGTCGAGGTGTGCAACATCCTGCAGAATTTCCGCAAGTACGAGTTCCAGCTCAACCAAGAGCCGCCCGCCAAGCCGCCAAGTAAGGGTCGTCGACCGTTGGCCCTCGGGATCTCCCCACTCCCCTTCCCCACCCTTCCTCCCCTTCCCCCTCCCCACCTCCCCCCCCCCTCCTCCCTCTCTGGCCCCCACTCCCTCTCCCCCGTGTTCTCCGCTGGATTTATGGATCTTGTTTGTTCGAGTTGACCGTACGATGCTTGTTCGTCGCGATCGCACAATGCGTGCTTGTAGTAACTGTACGATTTTTGTTTATCGAGATCGCACCACGCGTGTCTGGTTGTACAACACAATCCGAACGTTGATGCGACCCCGATGTCAAAGCAACCCTAATTTCAATGCATCCCCGAAATTAACGCAAAGTTTAACTTACATTCAACCATCTCTGTACGATGATGACGTGGCACGGCTGCGCGCAGGCGGATCGCTGTTCCTGTTCGATCGGAAGGTGGTGCGATACTTCCGCCGCGACGGACACGTGTGGCGCAAGAAGAAGGACGGCAAGACCGTTCGCGAGGCGCACGAAAAGCTCAAGGTACGTGCGGATCGTGCTCGATGCTGATTGGATGGATTGAGTGACCGCGGGAATGAATGGAATGAGTGGAATATTCGAGAGGAAGTAATGTGAGGAGGAATAAGTGTAACGTGAGGAAACGAAAGAAGAGAATGCTCTTCTGCATTGCGCCTGGGTCGACGGATCCGGTGGCTGCATGGCAGGCAACTCGCTTCTCGTCGCTTCGCTTCTTTCCAGTTCTGCGCAAAACGTGCTCTCTCACGATGCCAACAGGCTGCTGTTCCTCCAGGAGATTCGCTCTTTGCCCTCTCCCCTTACATAGTTCCCTGCATAAATACTCATAATTATACACAGCAGTACACTTATGCACGTATCCATATATCTGTCTTTCGCCCACTCCCCCATATTTGTTCGCGCGCGCGCGCGGCGTGGTGCGGTGCAGGCGGGCAGCGTGGATATCCCGCACTGCTGCTACGCACTGGCGGAGAGCTTCGAGTCAACTCCCGCCAGGCTCACGATTAACCTTGTCCGTTTCTCGCTCTCCCTCTCTCTCTGCAGGCGGGCAGCGTGGACATTCTGCACTGCTACTACGCGCACGCGGAGAGCGACGACCGCTTCCAGCGCCGCTGCTACTGGCTGCTCGACGGGTGAGCGCGCGAATGCTCCTCCCTTCCCCCCCCCCCTCCAAACTTTTCCCCTCACCATCCCCACGGGTGAGTGCGCGTGTGCCCCTCTTCCACCTGTGATTGCGCGCATGGCTCCCCGCCACGTCCACCTGTGATTTCGCGCTTGCCCCCTCCCTCTCCTGCTCCACTCGATCCATGTGAGCCAGTGCCAGGACCCTTGAAACTGTCGCGTCGTTCTCATTCTCGCCACCGTGCTGCTGCGGTATCAGCTTCTCTCTTTTGCATTGCTCTCCATCTGATCACTTCTCATCTCACTAAGCATGTTTTGTTGTTATTCAACTCTGATACCCCTCCCCACTCTTCCCCCCCCACCTTATCCCCCACCTTATCCCTCACCCCCTATTCGATCCCCTCTACGTTTCCCCGTGCCTGTACGTTCGTCTCCGCGTGCTGCTGTGCTGCAGCGAGAACGAGAACATTGTCCTGGTGCATTACCGTGAAGTGGCTCAGGTAGATGCATGCATGCATGCCTCGCACACTCTCCTTTTGTAGAAACAAAAAGTCGTGCTTCTTGTTTCGAAGCACATCGCCTTGGTGCATTACCGCGAAGGGGCTCAGGTATCCCTTCCTAGCACACTCTGCTGCTGCTTACCTGCCTTCGTGCCCGCACCCCGTCCCCTCCGATCCCTCCCCTCTAGTCCCCCCCAATCCCACCGGTCCCCCGTAACCCCTCCGACCTCCTAAATCCCCGAACCATGACAACTCTGAATCAGGCATCTCCCAACCTCGTTTCGCCGTGTCTCCCCTCCCACCTCCCGCCCCCCCATCCTCCAGGGCACGGGGCGGGCGCAGCAGTCCCCCCGCCACAGCACGGTGGACTCCGTGCCAATCTATACCGCCCAGGGCCCCGACATGAGCATAGACGACCTCTCCGCGTCCGTGGGCGGCGGGGTGAGCGGGATGGGAGGCGGCGGAGCTCGCAGCGCGGGCATGGCGCTAATGGGCGGGGGAAGCAGCGCGGCTTTAGCGGGTATTGGCAGCGCCAGCGCCGCTGGTGGTGGTGCTGGTGGCGTTGGGGGTGTTGGGGGGGCGGGTGGGATGGGCATGCATACCCCTTCCACTAGTCGCTCTGGCAGCGGCCGCATGATAGGGCTTCCCTACGCTTCCAGTTCCGCCTCTGTGGGCGGAACTGCTGGCGGCGGGGCGGGCGGCGGCGGAGCAGGCATGGGGGCGGGCGGAAGGGGCGGGGGCGCGTTTTCCATGGATATCCCCGCGTCCCCCAGCCACGGGAACGAGTACTGCTCGTCGAACGCGGGCGGGAACGAGTCCGGGGCGTTCGTGGGCGGGGGGAGGCGCGGGGAGGAGGGCGAGGAGGATGAGTATGAGAGCGGTTCAGAACGGTTTGGTGAGGAGGGGGATTCGGCTCTGAACTGGACGCAGCTGGATATGCAAGGCGGGGGAGGGAGGGGCGTTGGTGGTGGGATGGACGATGCTGGGCTGGGTGTGGGTCAGCAGCAGCAGCAGGCGGTGCAGCAGCAGCAGTTGCGGCTGCTGCAACAGCAGCTGCTGCAGCAGCAGCAGCAGCAGGCGCCGCAGGGGCAGCAGGGGCAGCAGGTGGCGGGGGGGATGACGGATTTCATGGGGCTGTCGTCGCATGGCAGCCTGGGTGTCACGGGGCCGGCTGATCCCCTCTTGCAGCAGGTGAGTCGAGTTGTGAGTCAACCCAAAGCAGGTGGGTGGGTGTTGAGTCGACTCAAAGCAGCAGGTGGCGGGGGGGGATGACGGATTTCATGGGGGGCTGTCGTCCAGCTCTGTCAGTTGGTTGCACGGCAGCCTGGGTGTCACGGGGCCAGCTGATCCCCTCTTGCAGCAGGTGGGTCTCACTCTCCCTCTCCCCCTTCTTCCTCCCCGTGCTGCACACACTTTGTTTGAGATTGATTTTGAGAATTCTCAAAATCAATCCCCTCTCCTCTCCCTCTCCCTCTCCCCATTCTTTCCTCCCGTTGCTGCACACCCTCCCCCCTTCTCCCTGCGCTCACCTCCCGTCTCTCCCGTTCCCTCTCATACCCATTGTTCAGAACAACCAGCAGCAGCAGCTCTCGAGGCTGCTGGAGCAGCATCAGCAGCAGCAACAGCAGCAGCACCAGCAGCAGCAGAGGGACATGCAGTCGCTCCTGCGAGACACAGTGGTTCTCGACGAGCTCATCAAGGCGTCAGGCCTCGCAGGTACTGCTAACGCTGCTGTTAGTGTGTTGAGGCACCTCAAAAGTCGTCTCAATATGAGGTCTGGGGTCCCTAGAAAGCGGTCCCAATCTGAGGTGCCTCAGAAGCTGTCTCAATGCATGCAGTCGCTCCTACAAGACACAATGGTGTTGGACGAACTCACCCCCACCCACCCCCGCCCACCCCCGCCCACCCCCATCTCCCCACCTCCCCCCGCCTAAACACCCCCCACAACCTGCTGAACCTCCACCTTCCTGCAGGCTCGTTCGGAGCCGATGCCTCTGCAGCAGGCACAGGTGCTGCTGGTTCCGGGACTGCAGCATCGCCAGCAGCAGGGCCGGCAGCAGCAGCGGGCGCAGCAGAGGCGCAGCTGAACTCGCTCATGTATGCTCGCTCGGGCTCCTCGGGCCCACACACAGACCTGGTGCGTGCGGATGAGCGTGTGGGTGGTTCGCGTGTGTGTGTGTGTGCAGGATAAACGGTGTGGGTGGGGGGCGAACCGGTCCGTGTGGGGCCCAGACTGAACTCGCTCATGTATGCTCGCTCGGGCTCCTCTGGCCCACACACAGACCTGGTGCGTGCGGATGAGCAGGTTAGTGGTTCGCGTGTGTGTGTGTGTGCAGTATAAACGGTGTGGGTGGGGGGCGAACCGGTCTGTGTGGGGCTCAGACTGAACTCGCTCGCTCATGTATGCTCGCTGGGGCTCCTCGGGTCCACACACAGGCCTGGTGCGCGCGGGTGGTGGGCAGACAGGTGTGGGTGTGGGTGGGTGGACTGGTGTGTGTGTGTGTGGGTGGGTGGGTGATTATGTGGGTGCGGTGGCTGGTGCAAGGATGGGTGTGCGAGTGTAGAGGGTGCGTCAATGGCTATGCGAGGTTGGCAGGTACAAAGAGTATTTGGCATGCTCGTCTTTTCTCGCCCTTCTCTCCCCGCCCTTCTATCCTTACTCCCTCTCTCCCCGCTCCTCTCCCCCCGCCCCTCTCTCCTCACCCTTCTCTCCTCACCCCTCTCTCCTCACCCTTCTCTCTGCTCATCCCTCTCTCCTCACCCCTCCTCACCCTTCTCTCCTCACTCCTCTCTCCTCACCCCTCTCTCCTCACCCCTCTCTCCTCACCCCTCTCTCCTCACCCCTCTCTCCTCACCCCTCTCTCCTCACCCCTCTCTCCTCACCCCTCTCTCCTCACCCCGCTCCCCTCACACCTCTCTCCTCACCTCTGTCCTCACCCCCTCTCAATCAGCTCTCTACAAAAGCACCTTCCTCAGCAGGACCTGCACTCTCTTCCCCCTTTAATCCTCACCTTTTTGCTTCCCACATCCTCCCCCCGACTCCTCCCGCCCTCCCTCTGTCTTTCTCTCCCCCACCCGTCTCCCTGCTTCCCCAATTCTCCCCATACCTACACACCAGTCATCCCTCCTCCTGCAGACCCTTCCTCTCAACGAGGCAGGCAGAGAAGCAGCCTTCAGCGGAGGCGGCGCCTCCGGCTCCCCCCGAGCCATCGCTGCCGCCACCGCCGCTGCAGCCGCCGCCATAGCAGCCGCCGCAGCTCCGGCCGTACCTCCCGAGAGCTGGCTCGGCGCGTACCCTCCGGAGCTCCGAAGCTCCGGAGGCTCGGGGCGGCCGGGGTTCTCCAATATGTTTGATGAGATGCAGACGGATGGGGCTAACAGGAGCCTGTCTGGTTTCCCCCTGCCGCCCAGCGGCAGCAGCATGCCTAAGAGTGGGAGCATCCCTCAGAGCGGCAGCATGCCGAACGAACCAGCAATGTTTCGGAAGCTGGACAGCTTTGGAGAGTGGATCGAGGAGGTTTATAAAGGGGATGCTGGTGCTGGTGGCGGCGGGGGAGCAGGCGGGGACGGGGCGGGAGTGGGAGAGGACGCGGTTATGGGGGGTGGTGCCTTTCCTCTCTCTGCATCTGGAGCTGGTGGTGGCGGCAGTGGTGGCGGCGGTGGCGGTGGTTTTGGCAGCGGTGGCGGTGGTTTTGGCAGCGGTGGCGGTGGTTTTGGCAGTGGTGGCGGCGGTCCTGGTGGTGGCAGTGACGCGTTTGACATTAGAATCCAAGCCATGCGGCGATCTGCCCCCACGCCCTCCCCTCTCTCCTCCCCCGAGCCCTTTCCCTCCTCCCCCACCTCTTCCGGTATGGTTTCCCCGTCGTTTGGAGCCGGCGAGACGGGGTTGGAAAGGCAGGAGGTGAGTTTCAAGCTAGGGGTGAAGGAGGAGGCGGGAGGGGACGGCGAGGAGGAGCATGGTGTAGGGCTGGGGGGCAGCAAGTATGACCTGTCCTTCATGGGTGCTTCTCCCATGCTCCCTCTTGGTAGCACCGCTCCTGCTGCTGCTGCTAGTGGTGGGGTGTCTGGCGTGGGGGCGGGCGGAGGAGCAGGAGGAGCAGGGGGAGGAGGATGGAGAGGGGGAGGGAGCGTCGGGGGAGGAGGTTGGGGAGGGGGAGGGAGCGTGGGGGGAGGAGCAGGAGCAGGGTTAGGGGCGAGGAGGGGGATAGGCGGCGGGGTGCTGTCGATGGGGGGCATGGGGTCGGTGGCAGCAGCAGACTCGCCGCGCCCCATGGTGACCTTCTCCATTGCCGACTATGCTCCCACCTCTGCTGCCACCATGGGGGGCGTCAAGGTGCGTACTGCTGGTGTGCTGGTGTGCTGGTGTGCTGGTGTGCTGGTGTGCTGGTGCGCTGGTGTGCTGGTGTGCTGGTGTGCTGGTGTGCTGGTGCTGGTGGTAGGCAGGTGAAAAGGAGACCTGATGGTGACCCTCTGCGGCCGATGGTGACGTTTACCATTGCCGACTATGCGCCCACCTCTGCTACCACCATGGGGGGCGTTAAGGTGAGAGTTCTGGTGCTGCTACTGCTGCTGCTGCTGCTGCTGCTGCTGCTGCTGCTGGGAGTGCTGGTGAGGGTGGTGGTGCTGCTGCTGCTAGTGGTGGTGGAACACGGGTGAAAAAGAGCAGCAACCGACCCTTTCCCTTCTTCCCAACCCGTCCTCCACACCCCCCCTCCCAACCACTTCCCAGGTGTTGCTAGCAGGCTCTGTCCACGACCCCAGAGGCACCCCAAGCCCCTACACGCGCCTGAGGCCCCTGCCCTCCTCCCCCTCCCCCCACTCCGATTCCCCTTGCCACCCCCCTTCTCCCCCAGGTGTTGCTAGCAGGCTCTGTCCACGACCCCAGAGGCACCCCAAGCCCCCACACGCGCCTGAGGCCCCTGCCCTCCTCCCCCTCCCCCCACTCCGATTCCCCTTGCCACCCCCCTTCTCCCCCAGGTGTTGCTAGCAGGCTCTGTCCACGACCCCAGAGGCACCCCAAGCCCCCACACGCGCTCCTCCCCCCGCGGCAGCTTCTCAGGCAGCGGCAGCCTTAGCGGTGGCGGGGGCAGTTTCGGTGCTGGGGGGGGTCTTGGGGGGAGCGGGCTTGGGGGGACCGGCAGCGGGAGCTTCGGTCGGGGGGACACAGTGTGGGGCGTGCGGTGGGGGGTGACGTTTGGAGAGGTGGAGGTGGAAGCTGAGCAGGTTGTGCACGGTGTACTGCGGTGCGTGGCCCCCATTCACAAGCAGGGGAGGGTTAGCCTGCGTGTTACCTGCACCCCTGCTGCTGCTGTGACTGTGACTGCTCCTGGGGGTGAGGGAGAGGGTGGTGGGTCTGCAGGTGTGGAGAGTGGGGGAGGCGGAGGGGGTGGAGATGCAATGAATCAAGACATGGCAGTAGCAGGGGGGGGTGGGGGGACGGGGGTTGGAGCAGCAGGAGGAGGGGTAGGAGGGGAGGGAGGCAAGGCGGTGAAGAGAGTGCCGTGTAGCCCTCCTGTTCCCTTCGACTTCCTCCCTCCTTGGCAGTCATTTAAAAAGAGCCTCGCTCTAGACCGAAACAGGATCATTGGCAAGAGTGGTCTTGGTGCTGGTGCTGCTGCTGGTGGCGCTGCTGCTGGTTGTGGGGGTGGTGAAGGGGATGGTAGCAGGCCGAGTTTGTCCCGTTTGTTTCTCTCTGAACGCGCTCTGCTCTCCCGCCTCCTCTGCTTCATCTCCCGCATCAACCGCGCCAGCCTGGCGGACGTCAGCGCTGACTGGGCGTGGGTGGATGAGGCGCTGGCGTCCACGTCAGCAGCATGCCCGGATGAAGCGGAGTGGAGGGGTAGGCTGGATGGGAACAGGGGGGGGGATTTGGCAGGGAGGGAGGGAATGGGGGTGGATAGGGAGGAGGAAGAGGATGAGGAGGAGGATGATGAGGAGAGAGAGATGAGCATGTGGGGCTATGGGAGTGATGAGGAGGACGCAGATGAGTATGCTCTCAGGCTGCAATGTCAAGGAGGTGCCGATACAGAGAAAGGAGGAGGGGGAGGGGGAGGAGGAGGAGTGGAGGGAGGAGTGGCGGGGGTCCAGGGGAGTCCAGTGCGGTTGGAAGGCGTGCTGCTGCAGGCGCTGATGCGGAAGCATCTGGGCCGTTGGTTGGCGCTGAACAGCGATGCAGCGAGGGAGGCGGGCAGGAGGGGCATGGGGCTGGGGCTGGGGCATCTGGTGGCGGCACTGGGGTGGCCGTGGGCTGTGCCTCTGCTCATGGCTGTGGGGTGGGACCTGAACGCGCGAGACAAGAGGGGGTGTACGGCGTTACACTGGGCTGCTGCTAAAGGGAGGTGAGTTGGTGTGATTGAGGGCATGTCGCTGCATATGGGCCGTCTCGTGGCGGTTCTGAGGTGGCTCCGGGGTCATGATTGATACTGCCTGATTCCCTCTCCTCCTTTCCTCATCCCATCCCTGCCCTACTCCCTCTTCCCACCCACACACCTCCCTGCAGGGAAGCAAGGGTGGTGGCGCTGGTGGCAGCGGGTGCCAACGCTTCTCCACCACTGAAACTGCCTCGTATACACTCCTAGTCTCGTCTGCTCATCCCATCCCTGCCCCATCTGTTCCCACCCCACCCCCTCACCGCGCACCTCCCTGCAGGGAGGCAATGGTGGTGGCGCTGGTATGGCAGCGGGCACCAACTCCTCTCTTCTGGAGTGAGTAGGAGGGGCAGAGCAAACAGCAGCAGACACGGCATCAGCATGCGGGCACACGGGCATCGCGGCGTATCTAGCAGAGTCATCTCTCAACGCCTCCCTCTCCTCCCCACTCCCCCCGTCTCTCCCTTTCCTCACTGTTCCCCGTTTTTCTCTCTGTCATCTTGCTGCTCTCTTCCTGCAGAGAGGCAATGGTGGTGGCACTGGTGGCTGCTGGCGCCAACTCCTCTCTGCTCGCGCGAGTGGGAGGGGCGGAGCGCACAGCAGCAGACACCGCATCAGCATGCGGGCACACGGGCATCGCGGCGTATCTAGCAGAGTCATCTCTCAACGCCTCCCTCTCCTCCATGACCATTCAGGACCAGCACCAGCTGGCCACCGACCCCTCTCTTCTCCAATCCGCCGCTGCTGCCGGTCACGCAGCCGTGGCCGCAGCAGCAGGTGCCAGCAGTGGCGGCAGTGCTGGTGCTGCTGCTGCTGCTGGTGCTGCTGCTGCCGGTGGTCTCCCGGGGACGGCTCGTCCCGCTGCTGTTGCCGCATCTCCCGACATGCAGGAAACGCTGGATGCGATCCGAAGAACGGCGCAGGCCGCAGCGTTGATCCAGGAGCGGTTCAGGAAGCACTCGGAGCGAAGGCGCCAGCAGCAGGAGGAGGAGGAGGAGCTTAGAGAGCAGGAGAGAGCAGTGGCGGCTGCAGCGGAGGCAGCGGCAGGGCTTGGGATTGGAGGGGATGATGAGTTGGATGAGGAGGAGGCGAGGATGCTGGTGGCGGCGAGGAAGATTCAGAACGCGTTCCGAGGGCACAAGACCTTCAAGCAGTCGGAGGCGGCGCGGAGCATTCAGAGGCGGTTCCGCACGTGGAAGCACCGCAGGGAGTTTCTGCGCATGCGGCAGCGCGTGATCAAGATTCAGGTGAGGGTGGTGACTAGCAGGGTGACCCCAAACCCCCAGGCGCACGTGAAGGGGCACATTCAGCGGGTGAATTACAAGAAGATGAATTGGGGCCTGGGGATCATTGCCAAGGCAGTGCAATCAACCCTCCCCCTCCCACCCCCCCACCCTCCCCCATCCCTCTCGATTTCCTTTCCCCAGGCGCACGTGAAGGGGCACATTCAGTGGGTGAAATACAAGAAGATGAATTGGGGCCTGGGGATCATCGCCAAGGCAAGGTGTATATCCATCCTCCCACCCTCCCCCCCTCCCTCTTCCCTCCCCCCAGGCGCATGTGAAGGGGCACATCCAGCGAGTAAAGTACAAGAAGATGAAGTGGGGCCTGGGGATTATTGCCAAGGCGGTCCTGCGCTGGCGGTTCCGCCGCAGTGGCGTGCGGGGGCTCCAAGCCCAGCAGGGAGACTGCCACTCCGATGCGGATGGTGCGCTGTACGGGAGTGAGGGCGTGGAGGCGGGGGGTGGGGATGGGGAGGAGAGAGAGGTGAGTCTGGCGGTGAGCCGGATGCAGGCTATGGCTCATTCGGTGGAGGGACGGGCGCAGTATTCTAGGATGAAGCAGGCTCAGATTGACATGCAGCAGGAGATTCAGATGCAGCAGATGCAGATGCAACAGATGCAGCAACAGCAGATTCAGCAGCAGCAGCAACAGCAGATGTTGATGCAGCAGCAGGCACAGGAGCAGCAACAGTATTCTGGCATGTCTGGTTTTCCAAGCCAACAACAGCAGCAGCAGCAGCAGCAGCAAGTTCCTGATCTCTTGCAGCAAGCTCACCTGTTAACGCAGCAGCAGCAGGGGTCAGAGCAGCAATGGAACCAGTGAAACCATGTACCGTATGTCGTTGCGACACAGTTTTGACAGCTCTTGAAAGATTAAATGCATTGGCTTCTTGGCAATTATGGTATGTCATCGCATACACAGCAGGGCCTATTTTATCAGGGTAAATCACCCTGATGCCCTGATGAACAGGGTGGTTTTTAGATAGTGACACTGATGCGGTAGGGTAATTTTTAGGACCTTCATTTACCCTGATGTGCCATGGTTTACGATTGTGCTACACTGTCGCCTCAGGGTTGCCTATCCTCTTATCGAGTTTTACCCTGAAGCGACTTCCAGCCAACCCCCGACCCCCCCCCCCCCAACCTTCCCCTAACCCCCCTACCCAGTAACCTGGGAATCCCCTTTGCCAACTGTCGTAACTGTAAATTTCGGCACGACATTACGTGTGCTGGTACGAAGTGGGCCACCATTGGCCTTGAAAAATTGTTACACTGATGACCCAGGGTAGAATTTTCTGGATCTGCAAAAACCCTGACAGATCAGGATTTTCACTGAGGGATACTCTGATAATCAGGATTCTGATGATGTGCAACACTGATCGTAAGGGTTGGCTCAAACCAAAAATTAGCCCTGATACACAGTATAAGGTTCAAGGAGTGTAGGATTAAAGCTTGTTTTGTTGTAGCGGGCAGCTTGATTCAACAGTGGAAAGGGTGTGCTAGATTAGTGCAAGCAGCAAAATGCAGGGTGTAGAATCATTGCACTGCTGCACTGTAAGTGGTGGATTTACTCTGAGAACAATTCATGTGTTGCAAAACCCATACATATGGTACGTATTTGCATCACATCACACGGATGCAATGTTGCAATGATGGAGGTTGTTTGACAGTGGAATAAACTCCTGTTTTCATCACAACACATTATTTGAGAGGGTCTCACACAACTAAAAACCATTATTTTCCATCGGGTGTCAACTAACAACCACGATTATCCAGCTGATTACACACAGCAGCTTGATGATGGCATGTCTGGATTGCAGAATTCCTTCCTAAAATGAGTGATAATATGTTGTGTTTTTTGGCTTCAGTTGTGTCTACACTACACTGGGATTTCAAATGACATGTGGTGTAGTAGACACAACCTTCTGTTGCATTTGGGAAAATATGCCACACGTAATCAACAAGGGTCTCGATAATATGTTTGGGAAAAACAAAACGGGTAAGGTCACTGCAAAGGGTGTTTTCACGTGTGTGATAACACGTTTCAAGGAAACAGTCACAATCAACTGGGAAAAAATAACGCGAATTGTCACAGATGAAATTCCCGCCCAAAATAGATAATACCCAAAATGAACCTGGATGCATTTTCGGATGAATCAACCCTAAACACAATTCGCCAGGTGTTTAGGGTTGATCCGTTCCCAAACCGCATCCGATTCCGATCGGGTTTTAGTTTTTTTTCGAAGTTAGCTGATTTGTTCGGCGCGAGCGGGAATTTTGTAAAGTTTCAAGAGTTTTTGGCGGGAGTAACATGTGTGACCATTCGTGTGATTTTTCACCTGTTGTGAGTTACTGAATCCGTGACCCCACTTACCAAACCCGTCAGCAAACCCGATAGACTGACCGTACGCGTTTTGTTTTCCGGTCACGTTATCGAGTCCCATGTTTGTTACTTGTAACATATTTTCCCGTTGCATATCTGTTTCACCAACCTCCTCCATTAAGCATTTATGCGAGATAGTCTGTACATACACTGTACCTTAACGACCCGTACTCTGCACCTCCATAGCACGTGGTCGCGATTCGCTCGCAGTTTTTGATTGGCGTTTACCAACTCGCGCTGGATGCCCTAACGGCCCGCGATACGTGCACTTCGTGCTGACAAGGATATTGCGCTAAAAGTTTTATGACACACATTTCCTCCTTTCCCCGTCCATTTATTTCAAGCAAGTTGAAACCACTTTGAGCCATACGCTATCTCCAGATTCTTCCATTCATCCCACACCACCCCGAAGCCAATCCCCCAGTTCCCAACACTCAACTTCCACTCGTTGGCGCCGGACTGAGATCCAGCGCGAGCTAGAATTCCAGCACATCAGCGTGCTGAGTCACCAGGCATGGCTTCTTGCATTCAACGGTGGCGTTTCTGTGGCGTTGGAATCAGGCGTGCGGAACAGTTCCTTCATTGTTTTGTTTCCTCTGACTTGGCTTCTATTTTGATCAGATCCGGCTCGTCTGAAGCGCCAAGTAAGAAAATGTTTGTTGGAAGATCTCTGAACAGTTGTCGCTTCCTTCATTTCCAATCCAGCGCTTCATCGGAGAGGTTGGTCGACTTGCAGAGCCCGCCCTTCAAGCAGCAAAAATGAAGTCGCAAGTGACCTCGATTCTGTGATCCAATTTCTGTCGGAAATTCAGCCACAGATTGAAGGGCGGGGAGCAGTGAAGACACACGCGTTAGCCGACCCCACCAAGAGCAAGACCGCATCCAGCAAGGCAAAGAAACGAAGCATGCGTGTCTAGAACATCGGCACTGCCATTATGCCATACGCCGACAACGCATCACGCTGGCATGCTTGGGCAGTGGTAATTTTCTGTGTTTGTTTACAAGGTACGGTGCTCCCCCTCAAGAGGCGCACGAGCAGACTCCATGTCGATGTCGGGCAGCAATTTCAGTATTGGCTGCGACCATTCCCCCAGTCGGAACAGAATGTCTCAAACTGAGGGAGTACAGCACCAAAACGCTCGAAAAAATGAAGTGGAATTAATCCGTGTGCGATGCGAGGCTGGAGGATATTGGCCAATGACCATTCCACCATGCGAAAGGACAACTTCCAGCAGGCGAACGGACGCCCTCCACAACCTCGCATCCCAGCCCATCCCTCCCTACCGCCTCCAACCACACATCCTCCATTTCCCTTTCTGTCTCAGTGCCCTTTTCGCTTGCTGACATGACGAAAGACGTGGGCTACTGCTGCGCTGTACTGTGCACGCACCCCCCTGGTCCGTGGCCTGCCTCTCCCTCACACAGCCCAGCAGTGCATTGCACTGCATTGCCATTCAACAGCTCGCACACTCACTCACTCACTCAAACACGAGGAAAAAATTAGTGCAACCATCCATGCAACCATTTATCCAACCCCGCTCTGTCCCTCCCCCCATCCCAAACGTCCTGGATAAAAGCCACCACGCTCACCCGCTCCACCATCATCAATCATCGAGTTTGCGCCTTCGCTCACTAGCCGAAACCCGCCAGAGTTTCCATTCCGAGCATTCTTAATCCAAATCAGGCCCACCCATACTTCGCCAATGTCCATGGCTCTCCAGTTCAACTCACCCACTCCAGACCACACGCACTTCCGCGCGTTCCTCCCTTTCGCTCCTGCCATGGAGCCTCTCCCCACTGTAGGCTTTCCGCTTTTCGCCGACTCGTTACACGCAAACAAACGCCTTCGATCCCTCTCATCGTCCCCCATCTCCGTCCCTCCAGCGGCTCTCCTCGATACTACGCTCAGCCTATCCTCTACTCCGATCGTCTCTCCCCCACCGTGCCCGCCGTGTAACGGCGCGATTTTGGAACGTTCGCCGTGTGACGACAACACCAATGCCGCGCTCCCCTTTCTCGCAATGCTCCGCCGCTTCAAGCCCCAAACGCAATCCCCGGCCGCCGCAATTCCCCAGATTCCTCGCGTCCTCAGCGCCAGTCCACTTCGGCGGACCAATGCGCCACTCCCCGCGGTTCCTGCAGCTCCCGCCGCTGCTCCCGCCGCTCACCCTGCACGCTGTCCGCTCCCGCCTGTGGAGGCCCTCCGCCGCGCCGTGAAGCGCTCGCACGCCGCAGCCCGACTCGACGAGGAGGTTACCAGCCAGCTTCGGTCCACCTATCCCTCGGATTGCCCCTTGCAAGTCCCGTCAAACGCGCTCGAGGTCGGTGCCGCGGCGTCGGGACTCCCAGCGGTACTTCCGTGCGACGCTGGCGTGGCGGAGCGGCTCGTGAAGTACGACAGGCTGACGTCGTCACTGCGTGGCTCTCTGCCGCCCGCGAATCTCGCGCAGTGGGACGCGGCGGTGGGCAAGCTGAGGGATCGCGTCGCGATGAAGGAGGAGTTTGGAAACGACGTGAACGGGTTCCTTCTGTTTCTCCACGCGCAGCTCGGCGCGCAGCAGCCGTCAGCGCGCAAGGCGCTTCAGCTGTTCGCTGCGTTCAAGCAGGCGCAGAGGCAGAGGCAGAACATGGGAGCTACGGTGGCATCTGAAGCGCCGCTGCCGCCGGCGGCTGCGGCGGTTTCGCGCCGTGTTTCGGCACAGGCTCCCGAAACTGACGACGATACCGCTTCCGTGTGTAGCAACGATCCCGAATCTGAAGGCTCACAGGCTGAGTCATCCTTTATTCGCCGTGACTCATCCACATCGACTTCCGTTCCTTCCGCAAGCGGGTGTCGGAGTGACGTGTGTTCGCAGCAGCTGAATGTGGAACAGCCGAGGCTGGGTCAGCCAAGGGTCGACCTTGGGATTGACGTGACGTGTCCTGCTGCTGTGAAGAAGATGCTTTTTGAACTCCAGTCCGCAGTGGTTCAGTTGGAGAGGAATGCCGCGATGGACGCGCGGATCAAGGCAGAGAGCCTTGCCGTGTTGCGGACCGCGCAGGGCCACTTATTATCGCGCCTCGCTACTGTTGTCCGCTCGGTGTAGATGGGTGCTGATCTGTCTCTACCTGAGCGTGGCGCGTGCCTCATGCACGCTTGGAGGGGTGCGGTGCAGATTATCCTCGTTACAACAACTTCGTGGAAAACAGGCCTTTCCAATTTATCCTAGTTGTCTTATCTATGACATCTGATGTCCCACAGGCGGATGCTCTTTTTGCTTGCCTAAAGGCAGCTTTTCTATGATTTGTGATAGAACTTGTAATATGATGTGCATAGGACTCAATTTCTCAATTCAGAGTTATTGTAACGAGTGCAATTGAGTGAACGAACGAGAATTGCACTATCTAAGCAAGAGTACAATGAGCGAAGGCATGAGCGAAAAATATATAGCGAAACTACAGTGGTAACGGTAATGGTCGCGCGACGAGCCTGGGACTGAGATTGGGAAAGTGTCGAGGCGTAGGCCCGGAGCGCGGGTTACCAGCCGAGCCGTGAGGTCGGGATGCGATGTGCGAAAATGGCGGGATGATGAATTATGCGATGGTCGCGAGTGGTAACGGTGCTGACTGAGGTGCTACAGTGATGTACGCGTTGAGCAGAGATGCGAAGTATGGAAAAGGGAATTTCCTTACACTACCCCCCTCTCCTAAAAGGTCCTCCTTACGAAAGCGCGTGGACGTCCTTGAAGTTTCGGCTGCGTAGATAGTCGGTGACGACAGGGTGGTTTTCAATTCTGTCCAGGGGAACCCAGTTGTCCTCGGTGGGTGTACGATCTTTCCAGCGAATCAGAAACTCAACTTTTCGGGCCCCTCGAGGGTCGCGACTCTGTGGCTCAAGATTTTGTCGGGGGTGATGACTGGTTCGGTTGGTGGTCGTGACATGCTGGATGGTCGATGTCGTGGGAGTTGGCTGGTGGATGGTACGTAAGGGCGAAGCAGGCTGACGTGGAACGAGGGGCTGACGTACCAGTCAGCAGGAAGGAGGAGGTGCGCGGTGACAGGTATGATCATGTGACTGATTCGAAATGGCCCACAGTATCGAGGGCGGAGTTTGGGAGTGATGGGCAGGCGGAGGTTCTGAGTGTCGAGTAAAACGAGGTCGTCGGGCTGATAAGTGACGGGTCTGCGGTGGCGATCGGCGTTGCGTTTAGCGATGATATTTGATTTTTTAATTGCTTCTGCTGCCCTGGTCCGTGCTGCTTGCAAAATCTCGGCGAACTGTTGTGCGCGTGGAACGGGATTGTCGGGGTTTGGTGTCATGGGTACTGTTGGGTTCTGTCCGTAATTCAAGTAGAATGACGACTGTTGGGTCGTGGCAGATGGCGCGTTGTTGTATGCGAACTCGATGAGAGGCAGCTGCTGCTCCCACGTGTTTGGATCGTCACACGTGGCTCGAATGAGTTGCTCCATAGTCTGGTTTGTCCGTTCTGTCTGTCCGTCGGTTTCGGGGTGATACGATGAACTGAATTGAAGTCGCGGGCCGAATTGCTGCCACAGGTTCCGCCAGAAATTACTGGTAAACTTCGTGTCCCTGTCACTGATGATCGACGCTGGTATCCCGTGCAGTCGAACGAAGGTGGAGATGAAGAGTCGGGCTGTTTCCTCGGCTGTGATTGATTTCCCGCATGCTGCGAAATGTGCCATTTTCGTTAGTCGATCGACGACGACCAGGATCGCGTTATTCCCACTCGCCCCGGCCGGTAACCCCGTGACGAAGTCCATCGTCACCTGCTGCCAAGCACGCTCTGGAGGTGGGATTGGTTGTAATTGTCCTGCCGGCCGCTTCCTGGTTGACTTCATGAGTTGGCAAGTGGGACACGATGCCACGTGTCGTTGCACGTCGGTCAACATTTCCGGCCAGTAATAGTACCGCTGCAGCTGCTGCCGTGTTTTTTCTACTCCGAAATGTCCCGAGGTAACTCCGTCGCGTGCCTCCTGTAACAGCAGTTCCCGTAGTAGCGTGTACCCTGGTACCCAGATGCGGTCGGATCCAGCTTTTACGTAATAGGCTCCCTTGGCTGCTGCGAATTGCTGTGAATTTCCTCCTGTGAAGAATGGGTCTGTTTGATATCCGTGGGTAAATAGTCCTGTCAGTGACGGGCTGGTCTGGGCGATTAGTATCGCATGTATTTGGGCAGTGGGGCGGGTCAGTGCGTCGGCGATATTCGAGGCTCCTTTTTTATATGTGACCGTATAGTGGAAATTCGATTCGAGGAAGTCGAGCCACCGAATCTGTCGTGGGTTGAGGTGGGGCTGTGCGCGAAGGTACTGTAGGGATCGATGGTCTGTTCGTACTCTCACGTCTGCGCCGGTCAAGTAGCAACGCCACACTTTGAACGCATGCACGATTGCGAGCATTTCGCGGTCGTGTATCGGGTAATTTCGCTCAGGTGGATGTAGCTTGCGTGATTCGTAGGCGATGGGTTGGAGGCCGTTGCCGAAGTCCTGTAACAGTACGGCTCCGATGGCGATGTCACTCGCGTCTGTAACAACTTCGAAGGGGCGGTGTGGGTCAGCGATGCGTAGGACGGGTGGTGAACAGAGAACATTTTTCAGGGCAGAGAAGGCAGCATGCTCTTTCTCCCCCCACGTAAAAGGGACCCCCTTACGCAGTAAATCAGTGAGCGGGGCTGTTAAGCGTGCCATGTCTGGGACGAACCGACGAACGTAATTAACAAACCCTAAAAAACTCTGTAGTTCCGTGATGTTCGTCGGGGGATGCCACGCTTTTACGGTATCCAGCTTCTTAGGGTCTATCTCAACCCCAGCCTCCGAAATGACGTGACCTAAAAACTCTAGTTTGTCCCGAAAAACTCGCACTTGGAGCCCTTGGTGAGTAATCGATGTGCCTCTAAAATTTTAAAAACTGCTTCGAGATCTACTAAGTGCTGCTGCTGGTCCCGACTGTAAACGAGGATGTTGTCGAGGTAAACTATGACGCATTTATCTAAAAGTGGCCTAAACGCCTCGTTCATGGTCACCTGAAATGTTGCAGGCGCGTTGGTCAGCCCGAAAGGCATCACCGTGTACTCGGATGACCCGTACGTAGTCCTAAATGCTGTCTTGGCGCAGTCCGATGGTTCGACCCGAATTTGATGGTAACCTCCCCGTAAGTCTATTTTCGAAAATACTCGTGCGGTTCGCAGCTGGTCGATCAGTTCGTCGGCGCGGGGGATGGGGTATCGTGATTTTACTGTTACCCTGTTAAGCGCTCGGTAGTCGATGCACATGCGAAACCCCCCGTCTTTTTTCGGTGTGAACAGTATCGGTGCGGCGAACGGTGACGAGCTCGGTCGGATAAACTGCTTCTCTAACAGGTAATCTAACTGCTTCCTTAGCTCGTCGAGCTCGGGCTGTGTCAGTCGAAATTGGCGCTGTACAGTTGGCTGTGCCCCCGGTTCTAACTCGATCCTATGGTCATGCGCCCGCTGAGGTGGCAGCCCTTGCGGTAAGTCATCCGGAAAGATACCCGGGAACCGTTTCAATAGTGCCTGTAGTTCGGGTGGTACGGATGCCAACAGATTCTGCAAATCACTCGGCCGGTCCTCTTTTTCCACTAATGCGATATCCACTGCGTACACGTCAGCTCCAGCAACGACAACCCGTTTCATCGTGATGGCGTTGACCTGGACCGTTGAAGACTCGGGTGGCTGCCAGCGAGGTAGGACGACCCAGTTACCACTACTTCGCACTGTGCAGCTACCTGTCGTCCAGTCAATTCGTGGGCTATACCGTCGCAGCCAATCACGTCCCAATAAAATGTCGTGCCCATCCAGTGTCGTTGCGAGCATTTCCTGTGTAAACCCGAAGTTCCCTCCGCAGCGGACCTTTACTCTCTCCACCTTTTCCCGTATAGCCAGTGGCGTGCCGTCGACTAAGCGTGCATCTATCTCAGGTAAGCATCGGTTAAGTGTTAACTGTAATTTCCGTGCGGTTGCGGTATTAACTAAGCTGTGACTTGCTCCCCCGTCAATAAAAATCTTCATTGCTGCTCCCTGTATTTTCCCGTAGATTAGTACCGGGCAATCCGTCTCTGTACCCTCCTTATTCATCCGAGCCCGATCGATGGCATAAATCGGTACTGTGACTCGGTAAGGGTCGGTGTGGTTGGGCGAGCAGGCAGTCTCGTCAGTAGTTGGCCCAACTTCTACTGACTGCTGGCGTTTCCCTGCCTCTGAGACTCCCTCCCCTGCTCTGCTCCTCGGCGCCTCAGCTCCTCTGGGCATTCGCTCTTGCGATGGCCCGGCTTGTTGCAAGCAAAGCAGCGCCCCTTAAACGGTGCGGCAGCTGCATTCGTTGCGACGGCGTGTACAATGGCGTGCTCGATCGGTCCCCGAGGACGATGTCCGTAATAGGACCCCGGTCTCGGTCGGCGTAGAATGTCGATCTTCTCGGCGAGCGCGAGAATCTCGTTGAAGTTAGAGAGTCCGCGCAGCATTATCTCGTGCGAGATGTCCGGCTTCAGCCCTCCGACGTAACGGTCCACCCGCTCCGCTTCGTGCATGTAGCCGACCTGCTCGCAAAGTGCGAGAAAACCGCTGGTATAGTCTTGAACTGACCCGAGATGGCGCCAAGTGCGCAGTTTCTGACGCGCCGAAATTGAAGCCGCGATCGGCTCAAAGCGCGCCCGAAGTCCTGCGCACCACGCATCCCACGTGCTGTATTGGGCGGTCTCGCAGAACGAACTCCAGGTGACAGCTGGACCCGAGGGCCCATCCTCGTGCGACGGTGGCTCGTAGGCGCGTGGCGACGTCACGATGACTCGCCACCAGTCCATGGCGGGGCCCCTTAGTAGTGAAACCGCATACCGGATCTTTGCGGCGTCCGACTCGACGTAATTGGCGTCGAAGAAAACGTTCATCGTGAAGACCCACGATTGAACTGTCGGACCGCCGCGTTGACTTGGGTCGAAGCAGGGCGGGCGTTGCGGCTTGAGCGGCATTGGTGCCATGTTGGGTTGTTCGCCACTTGTCGCCGCAAATTCCACGTGCCGACGGACTTCTCGAGGCTCCCGTGGGCTTGGTGCGATCCTGTTTCCTCCCATGCCAGGCATCGGCTGGGCGGCGCCCTCACTGGCTGCGCCTGAGCGTTGTCCCGTGCTGTCGTGTTGTGTTGGTGTGCCGGACGAGATGATGATCGGCTCATCCGAACGTGCAGATGCGTTTGTTGGTGCGTGGGATGTCGTCGGTATGTTCATCGTGGATTGTTGACGGGCGGAGTCACGTTCCGCCGTGAGGGTCGCGATTTCAAGCGCCGAATCCTCCAGTTGACGCACGAGACGATCAAGTTGCTCCTGCGTCAATGTGGCGAGCGTGAAGTCGTCCATGGCGGGGGTGTCGGGCAAGCTCAGCGAGAGCTTGGTCGTGGCCGTGCGTGCTTGCGAGAGAGCACTACGAGCGGCGGTGCTGTATCGCCAAGAGACGTCTACCCCCCCCAAAAATTGAGATAGTGGGGAAGCGAAGGTGTGGATGCGGTCCGAGATGGGATCGTAGGCTCTGAATACCAAGTGTTACGAGTGCAATTGAGTGAACGAACGAGAATTGCACTATCGAAGCAAGAGTACAATGAGCGAAGGCATGAGCGAAGAATATATAGCGAAACTACAGTGGTAACGGTAATGGTCGCGCGACGAGCCTGGGACTGAGGTTGGGAAAGTGTCGAAGCGTAGGCCCGGAGCGCGGGTTACCAGCCAAGCCGTGAGGTCGGGATGCGATGTGCGAAAATGGCGGGATGATGAATGATGCGATGGTCGCGAGTGGTAACGGTGCTGACTGAGGTGCTACAGTGATGTACGCGTTGAGCAGAGATGCGAAGTAAGGAAAAGGGAATTTCCTTACAGTTATCATATGGCTTTTCAGTAACATTCAACAGTCTTTCGCGATATCAGTTGTCCACTTCGCACACATGTAGTTCTTGTGTTCATGCTTCCAAATCATAACTCCTCTTTCCCTAGCATGAGTCCTCACCTAGGATCCACGCGATCCCGCCATTAGCTAAGCTAAGGCGTGCGTAAGGACCTAGTTGCTTCATGTAGGGAGAATTGTTTCTGCTGCACGTGGTGCTGCCGTACGTGTTCTTCAGAACCTTCTCTCCCATCTCCACGTGACGTTCGCGGCACCAGGTTTTGCGGAATCTTGTTCGCAGATGAGAGCTTGGCTAAGCAGATTTATGGTCACTTCGTCGCACGAGAAATCACGTGGACGAGTAATTCTGAGTGCCTGAGGCTTCCCGATCGACTATAAGCGGGTGCTCTTTAGAACACTCGTCCTATCTCAGTGATAAAGCAATCAGGAGTCGCAAAAGCCCGACAGTTTCTGAAACGAGGCTCCGTGAAGCATCTCCAACCGAAATTTGGGCGTCCCAAGCAAATAGCAGATCCTGAGAGATTGTGTTTCCTGCTCGAGCTTCATGTATAGCAATATCTAGATATTCGAAACGTTTCATATTACCGTCTAGACAGCATACTACCCTTTATTCCCACTCTGAGAGCGGAATATCTGAGAATTGATACTAAGCCACCCAATTATATCAATAAAAGTACGTAAACAGTCGAGATGGGAGATTCCAAACCCTCCGGAGGCGGCGGCGGCGGCGGCGGAAGCGGGCTACAGCTCGATCTGGACACGTTCGGCCGCCGCCTGAAGCTTCTCTACGACAGCTGGCGAAAGGACGAGAGCCGTTCGTGGGGTTACACGAGCGCGTTCGCCGTCGCGACTCCGCCGGCGAGCGAGGACATGCGATACCTTAAGTCGTCGGCGCTGCAGATCTGGTTACTGGGTTACGAATTCCCCGAGACTGTCATCGTGTTTCTGCTGGGCGGCGGAGTCGGCGGGGAAGGCGGCGGAAGCGGCGGAGCGGTGCACGTGGTGTGCAGCCAGAAGAAGGCACAGCATCTGGAGGCCGTCAGGCGCGTGTGCGCGGAGAAATCCGGTAGGGGGGAGAGATTTCCTGGGATCAGTTCGGAAGAGATAAGGGGGGATGTGTTAGATGTTTGGATGATGAGGATTTGGAGAGAGGGAAGGGTGTGAGGCGGGGAGGGAGGTTGGATGGGGGAGGGGAGAGCGGGTGTTAGGAGCGAGGGCAGACGATAGGATCAGCCCGGGAGAGATAAGGGGAGATGCGTTAGACGTTCGGATGATGAGAATCCGGAGAGAGGGAAGGGTGTGAGGAAGGGAGGGGGGTTGGATGGGGTGGGGGAGCGGTGTTCTAAGGTTAGGGTAGACAGTGGAGTATATATACACCTGAAGTGACCGGCTACCCTAATTGACCAGCCAATAGACGATTTTAATATCTGTCTTACCAGACCACTCCCCCACTCCCCCCTCTCCCCCCTCCCCACTCCCCCTTCCTCCCCCCCCTTTCCTCCCCCTCCTTCCCTTTCCTCTCCCTTACCCCCTTCTCGCCGCGCCAGGTGGAGTGGAGATGGTGCTGCACCCCAAGCCTCGCAGCAAGGACGGCCAGTAGTATTTTGACCTAAGCGACCTCTACCTGTCCCCCCTCCTCTTCCCCCATTCCCCGTTCCCCTCTCCCCCTCCCCCTTCTCTCCCCCCCGCGCCAGGCGGAGTGGAGATGGTGCTGCACCCCAAGCCTCGCAGCGAGGACGGGTCCTCCCAGATGGCGCAGGTCATCGACGCCATCCGAGCCTCCGGCGCAGGTTTGGCAGGCGGAGGTCCGGTGCGGCTGGGCGTGCTGGCAAAGGAGGCTCCGGAGGGGGCGATTATGGAGAAATGGGCGGCGGCAGTGGAGGCAGCAGCGGGTGGGGGCGAGGGCGGGGAGAGTGGTGGAGAGGGGTTGGAGACGGTGGATGTGGGGCCGGCGCTGGGGGATGTTCTGGCGGTTAAGGATGAGGGCGAGGTGATCAATATCAAGAAAGCCGCATTTCTTAGCGCGCAGGCGCTCAAGGTGTGATGGGGTTGGATGTGGTTGGATGTGGTGGGTTTGGATGAAAGAGGGGATGTCCTGGCGGGGCGGTTAAGGATGAGGGCGAGGTGATCAATATCAAGAAGGCCGCGTTCCTTAGCACGCAGGCGCTCAAGGTGGAGTGATGGGTTTGGATGGGGTGGGGTTGGGTCGGGTGGGGTGGGCTGGGATGGGGTGGGTCTGGATGAAAGACGCGAATGATTGGATGATGGGGTGGATGGGGTGGAGTAGGGTTGCTGTGAGGTGGGATGGGGTGGGGAGGGGTCGGCCCGCCTTCTTTCTTCTAGGCGTTTGTGATGCCGCAGATGGAGTTCTGATGAACAAGGAGCGCAGCTCGTCCTTCCCTTCCTCTCCGTCTCCTCATTTCGACCCCGCTCTTGTCTCTCCCCGCTTCCCCCCCTCCCAGGCGTTCGTGGTGCCCAAGATGGAGGTGTTGATAGACGAGGAGCGTAGCATGACGCACTTGCCTCCCCTCATGCTTCTCCATCCCCACCTTCCTCCCGCCCCTCCCCTTTCAGGCCTTTGTGGTGCCCAAGATGGAGGTGCTGATAGACAAGGAGTGCAGCATGACACACTTGGCTTTCCTCATTCCCCTCGCTCTCCTCCTTCCCCTCCTTCTCCCCTCCTTCCCCGGCCATGTCTCACTTTCTCTCCCCAACCTCAGGCGTTCGTGGTGCCCAAGATGGAGGTGCTGATCGACGAAGAGCGCAGCATGACGCACGCGGAGCTGATGGAGCAGACAGAGGAGGTCATCACCGACCCCGCCAAGATCAAAGTCAAGCTCAAGCCCGACAACTGTGACATCTGCTACCCGCCCGTCTTCCAGGTACATCTGCTACCCGCCCGTCTTCCAGGTGCATAACACCTGTTTTCCAGATAACTGCCATGTCTGCACTCCCCCCGTCTTGCAGGTAAGTTAACTGTGACGGCACATTTTTTCTGCTGTGATCCGCCTGATGTTTGTCACTTTTGTAGTCTTCTTCTATTCAACCATCTCCATCCCACCCACCTCTCCATCCCACCCACCTCTCCATCCCACCCACCTCTCCATCCCACCCACCTCTCCATCCCACCCACCTCTCCATCCCACCCACCTCTCCATCCCACCCACCTCTCCATCCCACCCACCTCTCCATCCCACCCACCTCTCCATCCCACCCACCTCTCCATCCCACCTTTCCTTTCCTCCTCTCCATCGCTCCTCTCCATCGCTCCTCTCCATCCCCTCTCCATCCCCTCTCTCCACCCCTTCTCTCCTTGCATCCCTCCCCTCTCACTCCGTCCACACCTCCACAAACCCCTCGCCGTTCAGAGCGGAGGGCAGTACGACCTGAGGGCGTCAGCAGCGAGCAGAGACGACCCGCTGTGTTATGACTTCATGGGTGTCATCATCTGCGCCATCACCTCTCTCCATCCCTTCCTCTTCCCTTCACCCCTCCCCTGTGTTCTCTTGTCTTGTTCAGAGCGGGGACCAGTACGACCTGAGGGCGTCAGCAGTGAGCAGAGACAATTCATTTGTGACACTACTCCATGGGCGTCATCATCTGCACCATCCTATCTCACCCTTTCCCTCTCTTCCGCCCACCCCCATCCCTCCCCTGTGCTTTTCCCTCGGCAGAGTGGAGGGCAATATGACTTGCGAGCGTCAGCAGTGAGCAGCGACGACCCTCTCTGCTACGATTCCATGGGCGTCATCATCTGTGCCATCGGCGCCAGATACGCCTCCTACTGCTCCAATGTGGCGCGCACCTACCTGATTGATGCTACCAAGGCACAGGAGAAAGCGTACCAGGTGAGGGGAGGGTGGAGGGTGAGAGGAGTGCTTGAGAAGGCCTGGGAAGGGCTGCACAGGAGGTATGTGGGGGGCTGGGGTTTTGTATAATGCTGATCTCAAAACACTTCGTGAAGATTATTCCAGAACCTGGTCAATTCTCATTCCATATACTTATTTTACTAACTCTATTTTGGTGTCAACACCTCATTTTCAAATCCTTACGCGATTCATATTCTTGTTGCTTTCCTCCCCCCTCTCTCCTCTCTCTCCCCCCGCCCCCCCCCCCTCTCTCTCCCCCCTCCCCCCCCCCCCCCCCCCCCTTTTTTTTTTAACCTCCCACCACATCACCAGGTATTGCTGAGGGCACAGGAAGCAGCGATTGCAGCGATCAAGCCGGGGGTACGGCTGGGCGATGTGTACCGTGCTGCAGTGGCGGTGGTGGAGAGGGAAGCTCCAGAGCTGGTGCCTCATCTCACCAAACACGCCGGCACTGGCATAGGCATCGGTGAGACAAGGGGGTAGGCATAGGCGTGGCGCTAAGGCTGGTAGTTGGGGTGCAGATGAAAGATGTGTACCGAGCTCCAGAGCTTGTGCTCCCCACCTGACCAAACACGCTGGCACCGGCGTAGGCATCGGTGAGTGAGAGAAGGGGTTGAGGGATAGGCTGGGTGCTTCAAGCTAGGGCTACGCAGTCTCACACTGCCCCCTTCATGCCCTGTGCTCCCTGCGCGGCTCGGTGTCCTGTGCTGCAGATTTTTGAGAGGCCGGTCTCACTCTCAACGCCAAGAAAGAGCGCACAGTGAAATCAGGCAGGGCGTTCAGGCAGGGTGCTTCTGGGGCTCCATGGCCTCACCAACCCCAGTTTCGAGTGTGGCTCCCACTCCTGTTCATCGTTTCCCCTCCCCTCCTCGCTTCCGCTCCCCTCCGCTCCCCCTCCTTCTGTATTGGTCCAGAATTCCGAGAGGCCGGCCACACTCTCAACGCCAAGAACGAGCGGACGGTGAAATCAGGCCTGGCGTTCAATGTGGTGCTGGGCTTGCACGGCCTCACACTGCCCCCTGCTTGTCTGCCTGCCTGTCCTGTGTTGCCCTGTGCTGCTCTGCAGAGTTCCGAGAAGCCGGTTTGACCCTCAACGCCAAGAGCGAGCGCACGGTGAAATCGGGCATGGCGTTCAACATGGTGCTGTGCTGAGCTTGCACGGCCTCACCAACCCCAGTTTCGAGTGTGGCTCCCACTCCTATTCATCGTTTCCCCTCCCCTCCCCCCTTCTTTCCCCTGCTCGCTCCCTCCTTCCCCTCTTGGCCCAGAGTTCCGCGAAGCTGGTCTGACCCTGAACGCCAAGAACGAGCGGACGGTGAAATCGGGCATGGCGTTCAACGTGGTGCTGGGCTTGCACGGCCTCACCAATCCGGAGGCCGGGGGAGGGGAGGAGGGGGCCGAAGCGAACGGAAAAGCTGAGGGCGCTGGAGGCAAGGAGGGCGGGAAGGAGGGGAAGGGGGGCAGTGCAAAGCTGAGGAAGTATGCGCTACTGGTGGCTGATACAGTGACGGTGAGGGCCGCTGCTGACAAGGACCGCTGGGTGGACGTCGCCACTGCCTCTGCTTCTAAGTCATTTGCCGACGTTGCCTACTCGCTCAAGGTGTGCTCGCTGTGTGGGATCCTTCAAGGTCTTCTTACTTATTCACTCCTTCAAGGAGGGTGGGGTGTGTGGGGTGAAGGGGCACTGCAAGGGTAAGGAAGGCACTGTGGGGTCTAGGTGCGCTGCTGCTGGTGGCGGATACGGTGGCGGTGAGGGCCGCTGCTGACAAGGACCGCTGGGTGGACGTCGCCACTGCCTCTGCCTCCAAGTCATTCGCCGACGTTGCCTACTCTCTCAATGTGGGGCCAATGGGGGGTTAAAGAGGGGATTTGGGGGGCAATGACGGGGGAAAGGAGGCGGGAAAGGAGGGGGGAATGAGGGGGGAAGGAGTGGCAGAAGGAGTGGTGCAAGGAGGATGGGATGGGGGGAAGAGGGGGAGTACGAGGGCGTGCGACTGGCAGAAGCAGCAGGCAGGGCAGAGCTCGTTGTGTCGCGCGGGAGAACCAGGAGGCAACAAAGGAGGAGCTGCGGCGGCTGCACCAGGCAGAGCTGGCGAAGCAGAAGATTGAGGAGAGGAGACGGCCCGGCGGCTCGCTGCTGCCTTCCTTGCTTCTCTGATCGTTCCCTCTCCTTTCACTTCTTGACTCGTTTTTCTTTGCCAGGGGGAAGACGAGGAGGAGGACACGGACAAGGGCAAGCGACCAGCAGAAGCAGCAGGGGCTGGAGAACCTGCTGTGTTCGCACGGGCGCACCTGCGGTCGGAAAATCAGGAGGCCACAAAGGAGTTGCGGCTCCACTTGCGTGTCTCACCTCTCCCATTCTATCCCTCCCTTCCCTTCCCTGTCAGGGGGAAGACGAGGAGGAGGAGGACACGGACAAGGGCAAGCGACCGGCAGAAGCAGTAGGGGCTGGAGAACCGGCTGTATTCGCCCGGGCTCACCTGCGGTCGGAGAACCAGGAGGCCACAAAGGAGGAGCTGCGGCGGCAGCACCAGGCGGAGCTGGCGAAGCAGAAGATCGAAGAGACGGCCCGGCGCCTGGCTGCTGGTGGGCTGGGCGCACGCGAGGGCGAGGGGGCTAAGAGGCAGACGGGCGACCTGGTGTCGTACGGGGATGTGGACGAAATTCCTCTGGCCATGAAGGACTATAAGATCCAGGTAGGAGGCGTTGGAAAGAATCGGGGGTAGGGTAGGTGGTTGTTGAGAGGACAATGACAAGCGCAGGCGGAGCTGGCGAAGCAGAAGATCGAGGAGACGGCCCGGCGCCTGGCTGCTGGGGGGCTGGGCGCACGCGAGGGCGAGGGGGCTAAGAGGCAGACGGGTGACCTGGTGTTGTACGGGGATGTGGACGAAATTCCCCTTGCCATGAAGGACTACAAGATTCAGGTAGGTGGCAGTTGGGGATGGAGGGTGGGGGCGAGGGGGCGAAGAGGCAGACGAGCGACCTGGTGTCGTACGGGGATGTGGACGAGATACCCCTTGCCATGAAGGACTACAAGATCCAGATAGGGTAGGAGTTGGGGGGCGAGCTGAAGGGGAGAGTGGGGGGAAGGGTGGGAGCGGGAGGGGGTGGGGGGAGGGGGAGGGGGAAGGATTTCTTTTCTTCTTCTTCTTTCGTAAAAGAAAGCTATATGTATTTATGTATGAGAGCATATAGTTCATGGATGGATTGAGCAGCAGAGACTTGATCTGGTGCTGTATGGTGATGTGGACGAAGCCTCACCCCTCTGTTTTCGACCCCACAGCTTATCCCACTGCCCTCCCTCTCCCTTCCTCTCCTTCTCCTCCCCTCTCTCCTGGTGGATCAGCGCCACGAGTCCGTCCTCTTGTGTCTTTCCACCCGCACACACACCTTTCTCTCCTCCACACCCTTCCCCACCGCTCTCGCTCCTTCCCCCCCTTCCTCTCTCCCCTTCCTCTCCCCTCTCTCCTGGTGGATCAGCGCCATGAGTCCGTCCTCCTCCCCATATACGGGCTGCTCATGCCGTTCCAACCCACACAATCCCTCCCCTCCGCCCTTCACCCCTCTCCACCGCTCTCTCTACCTCCCTTGCCCCCTTGTTCCCAGGTGGATCAGCGGCACGAGTCGGTGCTACTCCCCATATACGGGCTGCTCGTGCCGTTCCACGTGTGCATGATCCGCAACGTCACCAGCCAGCAGGACGGAGGGCACATCTACATCCGCATCATCTTCAACGTGCCCGGCGCAGGGTTCAGCACTGCCGACCTGCCCATGCAGAAATTTCCGGACAGCATCTTTATCAAGGAGCTTTCCTTCAAGTCTACGGATTCCCGGCATGCCAACCAAGTAAGCACATGTAACCAGGTAACCCGGTCTAAAAAGGTGGGTACATGAGGCCATCTCATGCAGGTAGTCATGCTTGTGGGAAGAGGAAGAGGCAGGTAGCCTGGAGTGCCAGCCAGCAGGACGGAGGGCACATCTACATCCGCATCATCTTCAACGTTCCGGGTGCGGGGCTCAGTGCGGCCGACCTGCCCATGCAGAAATCCCAGATAGCATCCCAGAGTCTATAAGACTCACACGTTATCAAGGAGCTTTTCTTCAAGTCTACGGATTCCCGGCATGCCAACAGGGAATCCGTAGACTTATAACGTCACACATTACCGTGTGACCCTTATAGTCAGGTGGCATATAATCAGAAAACGTGTACCTGGTGCAGCTCAGTCAATCCATGAACAAGCCTTTTCCCTTCTACCCTCACCGCAACTACCTTCTCCGCCCTCCCACTGTCCTCCTCTTCTCACTGCAACACCAGGTGGTGCCACTCATCATCAATACAATGAGCAAATTATGGCTGTGGGAACTGGTTGGAGCGACACCAAACCAACGTTTCCATTTTTTTGGTAACCAAACTTCCCCCCTTCCTCTCGCTCACCCTACCTCTTACTTGCAACAATCACCAGGTGGTGCAACTGATCAAGACCATGAGCAAGCACGTGCGGCAGCGGGAGTCGGAGCGCGCTGAGAGAGCGACACTTGTCACGCAGGAGAAGCTCCAGCTCAGCAAGGGCCGCCCGCCCCGCCTGCCGGACCTCTGGATCCGACCTTCCTTCGGCGGAAAGGGGCGAAAACTCACCGGGTCGCTGGAGGCTCATCTGAACGGGTTCCGCTATTCCACTGCCAAGGTGGGTTGCTGGTGTGGTGCAGTGATGTGCTGCGGCATGCGTTTCTGTGGTGACGCGTCTTCTTAAGCACCTCACAAATTTGCTGGAGGCTCATCTGAACGGGTTCCGCTATTCCACTGCCAAGGCAGGTTGTGCGGTGGCGTGTGGTGGCATGCGGTTCTTTGTGATGGTGGGTTCTTGCAACCACTCCCCGCTTTCTACCCTCTCACCTACTCCATCACCACCCTCTAAACACACCAATCCCTCACCAGCCGGACGAGAGGGTGGAGGTGATGTACGGCAACAGCAAGCACGCCTTCAGTGAACCTCACCTTTTCTCCCCTCTTCCTTACCTTCCTTAACCTTGGTCCACGGTCCACCCTTTTATCCCCCCCTCTAATCCCACCAGCCGGACGAGAGGGTGGAGGTGATGTACGGCAACAGCAAGCACGCCTTCAGTGAACCTCACCTTATCTCCCCTCTTCCTTACCTTCCTTAACCTTGGTCCACGGTCCACCCTTTTATCCCCCCCTCTAATCCCACCAGCCGGACGAGAGGGTGGAGGTGATGTACGGCAACATCAAGCACGCCTTCTTCCAGCCCGCTGAGAACGAGATGATCACCCTCCTGCACTTCCACCTACACAACCCCATCATGGTCGGCAAGAAAAAGACAAAAGACGTGCAGTTCTTCGCCGAGGTCATGGAGGTGGTCCAAACCGTGGGCGGCTCTCGCCGCTCAGCTTACGACCCCGATGAAATCGAGGAGGAGCAGAGGGAGCGGGAGCGGCGGAGCAAGATCAACCGGGAGTTCAAATCCTTTGTCAGCGCGGTGCATTCTCTCTGGGAGAAGGACCGCGAGCTCGCTCGTCTCGACCTCGAATTCGACGTGCCGTTCCGGGAATTAGGGTTTCACGGCGTGCCGCACAAGTCGTCCGCGTTCATCGTACCGACGGTGAACTGCCTCGTGGAGCTGATAGAGGTGCCCTTCCTGGTGGTCACTCTGAACGAGGTCGAGATTGTGAATCTAGAGCGCGTGGGTCTCGGGCAGAAGACATTCGACATGGCGATTGTGTTCAAGGATTTCAAGCGGGATGTGCTGCGGATTGATGCGATCCCGAGCACATCGCTCGACTCGGTGAAAGAATGGCTGAATTCGATGAACATCAAGTACTATGAGTCGCGGCTGAATCTCAGTTGGAAGGCTATCCTGCAGAATATCATGAGTGATCCTGAGGCTTTCTTAGCGGATGGCGGGTGGGAGTTTCTGAATCTCGAGGCGTCGGATAGCGAGGGGGAGGAGTCGGAGGAATCGCAGGCGTACGAGCCGTCGGATCTGGAGGAGGCTGCATCCGACGATGATGATGACGAGAGCGAGGATGATGAGAGTGTGGTGGATAGTGAGGAGGAGGAGGGGGAGGAGGAGGAAGAGGAGGAGGAGGAGGGCCCGACTTGGGATGAGCTCGAGGCGAAGGCTTTACGGGAGGATCGGGAGAAGGGGGAGGAGAGTGATAGTGAGGGGGAGAGGAGGAGGAGGAGAAAGGGAGGGGGAGGGGGTGGAGGGGGAGGAGGGGGGAGCGGTGGCGGGGGAAGGCCTGGGGATTCGCGAGGAGGGGGAGGGGGAGGGGGAGGGAGCGGGGGGAAGGGGGGGTGGAGCGGGCGACCAGAGGGGAGGCCGATGGGGAAGGGGCCTATGGGGAAATCCGGGGGGGGAGGGGGGAGGCCGATGGGGGGAAGCAGTGGGGGGAGGCCGGGGGGAGGGGGAGGGAGTGGGGGGAGGCCGATGGGGAAAGGGGGGAGCGGGAGGGGGCCCCCTCCGCCTATGGGGAAGAGGCCTATGGGGTCGGGGTCTGGAGGGCCCATGAAGCGACCAAAGTACTGACACTTAGGTAAGTGACAGTGGGGAAACGTGGTTGGGCGCTTACGAGTTGTGCTGGCTCCTAGGTTATTTTAATGCCACTTGCGACTAGGCTGCCACTTAGGTTACCACTTAAGTTGCCATTTTCATTTGCCACTTAGTTCGCCATTCACCTTGCTGCTTAAAAATGTTCAGGTTCTGGGTACACATGTGCATTTAGATTTGTTGCAATGGTCATTTGTTTGTATGCACTCTTCTTTTCCCCGATGGTTTCCTTAGTCTTGGTCTGCAATTCAACGAGTCTCATCTCAGATTGCAGTGATAACATGGTGTGTTTGTTTGTTTGTTTGTGTTTTTTTAAAAGAATCTCAAGAATCTCAACCATTCACTTGTGATGCCTTGCCTTGATGCCACCCTTTTTCCATCACTGATCGGCCAGCGCAGATACCGAAGCTGCCTTTGTGTGTTGCGCTCCCTGTGCCACCTCATGTCACACTCCTGCCACCTTGTTCCAGTTGTGTGCCACCATGTGTCACCCTCGTGTCAGCTCTTTACACCACTTTTCACCATTTTCCAGCATCCTGCCATCCCTCCTACACCAATGTATTCCTCCAACCGCACATCATCACTCTGCAACGGCTCAAGAAGCACTGCAAGCCATTGTTGAAAGCAATCGATCACCTCGTATCTTTCCCAGACACACCAACAGTTGCAGTTACAGCAGCCTCTACAGGGCACCCACCGCACCCACTACATCATCATCCACAGCAGAAGGACAGCAGCTGTTACAGCAACCACTACAGGCAACCTCAGCAACCGCTACAGCACTACAGGCACCCTCAGCAACCGCTACAGCACTACAGGCACCCTCAGCAGCCGCTACAGCAGGAGAGGGACAGCAGGAACATCAGCAGTGCGCTTGCAGCGAGGGATGCAGGAGCAGGCTGTATCCGTTTTCATCTGATGGTTTTCGAACACAGTGGAAATGACGTGGGAATAATTTCCTCAATTGGAAAAAGGTCATGGAGAAATGCTTGCCTGTCAGGTCTGATGTGTGATTTAAGCTTGTGCTGCTCGTTTGCCTCTTGCTGCCTCCTGGTTGAATAACACGTGATCCTTGTTCACGTACATAAGCGTTTATTTCCCTCCTTGATTTCTCTGTCCTGCTGTGGCCTCTTCTCCTCCTCTGTCCCTTTCCCTGGATCTTTGCACTCCCCCCTCCCTTAATTGTTTGTTGGACGATCGCCCATCCCCTGCCCCTCATTGTGTCACTAGGACGCTTCTCCTATCCTCGTAGCCCCCCTTTTGAGCTTTGAAGTATCTACCTAGCACTCTCCAGTTGTATCCTGCCCTTTTCCTCGCCTGGTTTTGTTGATAACGGCCTAAATGGCGCCACCGCTGTCAAATAGCTGCTGTATGCCCCGTGAAAGGATGCCTGGTGCCTTTTTCCCACTCATGCTGGTTGTGGTTTTCTGAGTTGCTTATGTTGGAAACAATTGATTTAGCGCCTCTGTCGTGTCGAGTCAGAAAAGAAGCAAAACATATCGAAGCATTAGCGAGTCAACCCTCGGAGGTTGAACAAGTGCTGGAGGTTACGCGAAAGTCAAAGGTCAGCGACCTTAGACCTGACAAAGGGCTTTTCTCAGCCCAACAGCTTACTCATATCCCCCATGTTCCACAGGAATATTTTTTCTTGCCCGGGCGATTCGGTTCGTACTGTAGATGCGGGATCTGCACGACACGCCTGGTTCCCGATCATTCTCGAATCCCAAGGGAACAGATTTGCAAAAAACATCGGCGGTGGCGGTGTGCTGCCTAATCAGCGACAAGATTGGTTGCCTGGTTGGTTGGGCAACCGTAACTCCCCACCCCAGGCTTCTGAAAAAGCGATAATAGTATAATTGGAGTAACCGTATCGTCTGGAACACGGGCTCCGCGTCGTCTGGAATGCGGGCTCCGCGTCGTCTGGAACGCGGGCTCCGCGTCGGCTGGAACGCGGACTCCGCGTCGCCGGGAACGCGGGCTCCGCGTCGACCGGAGGGTGGGATCCGATCCGCCTGAAATGCGGGATCCGCGTCGCGAGGAATGCGGGCTCCGCGTCGCACAGGACGCGAGCAGCTAAATGTGGCGAGCGGGTGCTGCTCGTCGCTTGGTGCGCGAGCCGAGTCTCGTCCGCTTTCTTCCCCCTGGCTAGTCACAACGACTCCAATACACTCCCGGTTTCTTGTTGTGCCTAGCTACCCGTAGTCTCCAGTCTGTCATCACGGCCTTCTTCCCGTTAGTGCAATCGCGCTTGCACGTTCCTACACTTTGCTGTTGCCAGCTCATGCGATGGTCGGTAAGCTAGTAATCTGGGGTAAAAATCGTCTCGAACACGTTTCTATTGTGGCGTTGAGTAGGTGGCGTTGATACCCAGCACGTGCGTTGCTTGCTCTGTTTTTCTATTTCCCGTTAGCATCGAGCTGATTCAGTGGTGAGGTGACTTCGGATGAGCAACACTTTCCATGCGATGCAAGTGAGGATGTGTGAGAGAGGAGGTGTGCGACACATCCATCGCTTTGGGTTGGTGGGATTCGCAGATTTGGTGAGTGCGAAATGTACTCGTTGTTTGCGGAGGATAATTGTTCTCGCCAAAGGCAGCCAACCGAAATGGGCTTCGCAGATCTCGCATACAGCCTATTTCAAATCCACATAACTTGATAATTTACCATGCTGACCCCGGGCTTTAATCAATCGACTTTGCCCTCACATACCAGCACAAGGTGGTTCAAAAACTTCTCATTAAACGCTTCCGCTATTACATTGTCCTACTGTCAAACATACGGTATGTTTATATGTTTCAGTTTAGGTAGGCTTAGTGGGGTACTCACTGTGGGGTACAACCCCTTAGGCTTTTCCTTGTTGTACCAACTCTCTCGATAGTTCAATCCACCTTGCCTAAGTCTTAACATGGCATATAGAGCATAGGTCCTTAGGACCTAGGATTAGGGCCCACCGTTACCTATTTCGCCTCACTAAGAACGTACCTACCCTGCCTAGAGCCCGCGCGCGCCTCGGCTGCACGCGCGTGGCCTTTTTTTTTCCGCGCGCGCCTCTTAAGCAGCCCGCGCGCCTCGTTTTAGACCCACCCGCGACGCCCGTTCCGGCCCCGCCCGTGCGCCCCTTACGCCGCCCGCGCGCAGCCTGCTTAGGTTACACCCGCGCGGCCCGTTGCCGCACGCCGTGTGAAAGTTAGAAGAGAGAAGAGGGCTGCACTAGCAAGAATGAGGATACAAATAGCAAACCCTAGAAGGGTTGTACTCGCTATAGGGCACCCCACTACAGGCTAGAGCATAAGATAACATTCTGACACACCCCCATAGCCAAAGTGGGGTGTAATCAGCAGAGCACGCAAAGTAGTACAAGCTCAGGGTGGATCACAATGTCACCACACATTCTGAGCACAAGTTCAAGAAGCAATAGTTTAAAGTTCACAATTATGAGCAAAGCTAGTGGTAGTCACAACGGGCAAGTGAGGAGGAGGAGAGAGAGTGAGAGGAGAGGAGATAGGAGGCGACGGATGAAGCTGCAGACACACGGGCAACAGGAGGCACACTGGCACAGCGGCTACCGGAACAACGCTCCGGAATACTGGAGTAACTGGCCCCGCGGCTAAAGTAGCGGCAGACGAGCAACGGACCCACGGGCGGCTGGCACAGCTGGCTACGACTGGGCTACCGGAGCAACTCCCCGGACTACAGGTGTTGCTGGCGACACGACGGCAACCTCCATTCAGCTTCCCCCAAACTATCCCACTCCCCCTGGCACACACCCGCTGCTACACCGCTAGCTCCACTCCCCCTTCACCCCCCCTTAGTACCACTCCACCGGCTCCAACACGTCCACCCCCCCTCAGCGGCAGCTGCAGCACAAGGAGACGGAGGAGGAGGAGGAGCAGGGAACGGTACAAAGTGAAGTCACCCCCATACCCCTCACCCCCAAACCCTAATTCAGGAGAATGGGGAGTAGGAGGGGTGGGGCGCCAGTAGAAGCACCGGGGGACAGCGGGGAGGGCAGGGGCAGCGAGGAACGGGCCCACCACGGGCCTGGTACAGACGCCCGAGCCGCGCGCAGGCGGCTCGAGCCGCGCGCGGGCCTGGCGCCGTCCGTACGGGCCGCGCGCGGGCCTGGCGCCACCCGTACGGGTCGCGCGCGGGCCTGGCGCAGCCCGTACGGGCCGCGCACGGCCCTGGCGCAGCCCGTACGGGCCGCGCGCGGGCCTGGCGCAGCCCGTACGGGCCGCGCGCTGCCTGTACGGGCCGCGCGCAGGCCACGACGGGCGACGGGGGGCGATGCGCGGGTCCCCGTCGCCCGTCGCGGCGCCTCCAGAGGGCGACGCGCCGAACGACGGGGCAGAAGCCCGCCGCGCGCCTCGGGGCGCACAGCGGGCAGAGAACCGCCGCGCGCCTTGGGGCGCACGGCGAGCAGAAAACCGCCGCGCGCCTCGGGGCGCACAGCGGGAAGAAAAACTGCCGCACGCCACGGGGCGTGCGGCTCAGAGAGTAGTGGTAGTAGTTGCAACGGAAGCAAGGAGGTGGTAAGCCCACCCACAGGATCGATCCAAGGGGATCGACCTGCTCTGATAGCATGTGAAAGTTAGAAGAGAGAAGAGGGCTGCACTAGCAAGAATGAGGATACAAATAGCAAACCCTAGAAGGGTTGTACTCGCTATAGGGCACCCCACTACAAGCTAGAGCATAAGATAACATTCTGACACGCCGCACGCAGTCGCGCGCGCTGCTCGCCGCACGCGCAGCCAGGAGCCGCGCGCAGCCTGTCGTCACGCGCAGCCGGGAGCCGCGCGCAGCTTGTCGTCGCGCGCAGCTAGCAGCCACGCACAGCCCTCAGCCGCACGCAGCAAGCAGCCGCGCGTGCCCTGCTCGTGTGCCTGCCTCTGCGGCTTGCTACTGCCGAGCCCGCTGCCTTAGGGTTGCACGGCCTGCTACTGTCTAGAGCGCCACCTTAGGAGCTTGATTGCGGCCTGCTACTGCCCAGCACGTTGCCTGTGTTGCCTACTGCCTACTGCCTCTGTCTGAGCCTGCGGTCTACTGCATGCTGCCTCCTGTCTAATGCCTGCTGCCTCCTGTCTACTGCCTGCTGTCTCTGCCTTTGCCTGCGGCCGATATGACGACGCCTAATGTTCTTGCATTCGAGCCTGACGGTCGCCCCATAGATTTCGCAGTGTGGCTCGACGACCTGCACCTGTTCCTTCTGAGTGATGCTAAAGAGGGTGTCTCACTGTTCGATTACGTGTCTGGCACTGCCGTTGCCCCTGCTGCCGATGCTCCTGCTCTTGAACGCTCACAGTGGCAGACTCGCGATGCTGCAGCACGCCTAGCTATTAGGAACCATCTGCCGATTCCTGATCGAGCGCATTTCAGCCAGCACAAAACTGCTAAGACACTGTACGACGCTGTAGTTGCACGCTACTCGTCCCCGGCCACTACAGCCATAGGTCGGCTCATGCTACCCTACCTGTTCCCCGACCTTTCCTCCTTCACCACTGCTGAGGACCTCATTTCTCACCTGCCCGCTACTGACACCCGCTTTCGTGCCGCCCTTTCAGCCGAGTTCTGCGCCGCAACCCCCCCCCCCCCCCCCGATGTACTTCACTCTCTATTTCCTCGT